ATCCTATGTGGACTATTTATTCATTTTCAGCCCTAAAGGGGAACCCGTGCTCAATATAAAAGGAGGAGAGCCACACTTTGGGGAGAAAAATCGAATTACATAGCAGTAGCCTCTGCTGCAGTGAACTGCTGTGAAACCAGAGAAGAAGAAGAAAACCCTAATCCAGCAGTTGTTGACAACAGAAAGAAAAGGAGACCAACAAGGATTGATTAGGGCAAAGAGGTGGACGTGAGAGCTCAAGAGAAGGGAACTTCTATTGACGAATGACAACAAACCGGGATAACTCTCTATTTTCTTATTCTCTTTTCTTATTCCATCAATTTTACATGATGAAGATGCTGATTCCTCTGTTTAATTCAATTTGTATGGAGAGCTAAACTTTATATGGGAGGCGATAGAGTTTTATATAGTTTAAGTATATTGACGGTATGGTTTTAGTTTATTAAATAGTTGTTGTTAATGATTTACATGTGTGTTTAATTAGCTACTTTACATACATAGTTGTTCTCTTATTCGGGAGAAGAGAGGGAGCAATGAAATCCTCTTTAATAGTCTAGTTCCATAGCAAGGAGACTTGGAGGGTAATAGAAGGGTTAGGAATAATTCTTCTTCGAGAGCCTTGTTAATAGAAATTACAACGATTATGGAAATAATCACCATTCATGACTCGAAAGTGGGCTTGAGAATCTATTAAAAGGAACTAAAATCTACCACAAAACTTAACAACTTATCTATTTAATCTCTCCTACCCAAACCTTTCTCATTATATAGTTAATTTTCTCATCATTTTCTGTTTTTTTTTACAGCAGGGACCTCTGTTTTAGTTTTGTTTAAATAGTTAAAATCACCAACACCCATTTTAATGTTACCCAAAAACTCACTCAATTTCCCACAATAAAATTAACAAAAAAGATAGGTTCCCTGTGGAATCGATAATTTATTTATTACTTGCTACTTGTGATAATGTATACTTGCACTTATTCTTGTGAATTTTACATTATTTTATTATATACATCCACAAGCGATCAACCTCACTAAGATAAAAGCTGTCACTTAGTGACGCTCGACTACAGTCATAGAGGTATGGAGTTTCTTGGGCTAGCATGCTACTATTGAAGGTTTGTATAGAACTTTGTTAGAATAGTCTCACCTCTTACACAGCTGATAAGGAAAGGTGTATCTTTTGTATGAAGTGAAGTGTGAGACCAGCTTCTAGGACTTGAAACAAAGATTAGTGTTAACACCAGTGCTCATGATGCCAGAAAGCTCATGGGGATACATAATCTACAATGATGCTTCCAAGGGATTAAGGAGCGTATTGATGCAACATTGTAAGCTTGTTGCATATCTGTCCCGCCAATTGAAAGAGTGAGAAAAACTATCCCATGCATGTCCTAAAATTTTTCGCGTTGGTGTTCGCATTAAAGATTTGGGGACACTACCTTTATGGAGAAAAGACCAAAATGTACGTTGAACACAAGAGCCTAAAATACATCTTCACCTACAAAGAATTGAACATGAGGCAATGAAGGTGGTTGAAATTAGTGAAAGACTACAATATAGATGTCTAGTACCACCCAAAAAAGATAACGTGGTACAGATGCCCTAAGTCGTAAAATGACACTTTCATCAGCCCTATCACTAGGGAGTCACGAGTACAGGCAGATTTTGAGCGAGCAGGTATAGTTGTAGTAATTGAGGGAGTCATAGCACAAATGGCTCAACTCATAATGCAATCTACACTCAGACAAAGGATTATCGATTCCCAACAAGAGGATCCTAGCCTAAATAAGATATTGAGTCAACTAACAATGAGACCATTGGATAATTTTTCCAAGTCATCAGATGGTGGACTATTATGTCAAGGATGACTATCTGTCCCATTGGAGGAAGAATTAAGAAATAATATATTGACTGAATCACACAACTCGTGATTCTCCACCATATATTCTCGTGGTACCAATATGTACCAAGACCTAAAATAGCACTTCTAGTACCAAGATGTACCAAGGCCTAAAATAGCACTTCTAGTGGCTAAGTATAAAAAAAAGGATATAGAGGAATTGATGAGGAGTGCCAACAAGTAAAAGCTTCTCGGGAAGAAAATAGCTGGATTATTGCAACCTCTAATTAGACGAGAGTGGAAGTGAGAAAATATCACTATGGACTTTATAGTGGGATTACCTAGCACACTTCCTACAATAATCAAGGTAATTATCGACAAACTAACAAAGTTAGCACATTTCCTACCGTGCAAGACGACATATACAGTTAGCAATTGGGCTCAATTTTATGTGAAGGAAATCATGAGGTTGCATGGAGTTTCAGTGTCGATTGATCAGATTGAGACCCCCACTTTACGTTGGCATTTTGATGTGAACTCCAAAAAGCATATGGTACTCCCCTACTTTAGTACTGGCTTCCACCTCCAAACGGATGTCAAACAGAGCAACAATTGAATTAAATTTTAGAAGACATGCTACGAGCATGTGTTACGGACTTCATTGGAAGTTGGGACAACAAGCTACATCTGATGAAATTCTCGTACAATAATAGTTTCCAAGTAACTATCGAGATGTCATTGTTTGAAATGTTATATAGATAATGATGTAGATCTCTGCTATGCTAGGAAGAAGTACGTGAACGAGAATTAATGGGACTCGAGTTATATGGGAAACCACCCATCAGAGGTTCATGTGAGGATAAGATAAAGGGAAAATTACCTCGAGTTAAAGAGAGCTTCCCTTGAATCCCACAACATAACCGACCCTCAACCGTTCTCCAGATATCACCTTCAAGGAAAAAGAGAAGGAACAAGAGAAAGAGAGAACGAGAAACATTGCCCTGCGAACCACGAACAAAATACGTAAGGAATAACCGGCCAAAGCTCCCTAGTGCACTCATGGTAGGGTTTCCAATCACAAACATTCTAATCCTTCGTTGCGGTCGGATCTCAAATTCTTGTCTTATATACTCTTAACACAAAAGAACTACGCATATAAGTACGTATGAGGACCATGGAGGTTGTGAAGAGAGAGAAATTCGTCTATGTTTTTGCAAGAATCGGGTAAGGAAGACGAAGTTCGTGGACTTCGGGTCGGATCTAGATTGGATATCCAAAAACCAATCTTCAGCCTGAGAATCATTTTGCCTTTGACCCAGTTTCGACGCGCCTGCAGTCCAAAACCGACCCCACACAATAGTACCCGTCCGTAGTCAGCATCCATAACCCGAGTCCCATTTGCCTCGGCCGAAACCTGCAGCAGCCCAGCCTCAAGGCCTGCGACTCGCGTACCTGTAACAACTCGTGCCTCGACCCGACTCGACCTGCACACGCATCAGTGTCTCATTGCACCACGTGTCACACCTGCAGCCGGACACCCCTTCGGCTTACATGGCTTAGTCGACTCAGCTTCGGCCCGATTCAGCTCAAGACACAGTCCTTCAGCTCGGTAAAGGTAAATTTGTCCATTTTCCTCTAATCCAACCATCCCAAAGCTCAATTTGACATTGTTTAAGGTAGCTACAGGCAGTATAAGGTAAGTTTCTCGATTTAAGTTAAATTGAGTTACTAACAAAATCGGATGGACATTCGGGTAACGACAACCGACGATATTTGGAGCAATCTCGAGGAATAGAAAGCAAACGTACTCAAATCTAGGGAAACCATGGCTAAGGCCAACCAAGTAAGTGACCCTACAATTTTTTTTTTATTTTAATTGTACACTGAATTATGACACATGTCATATGCTCGTGTATGCAAAATGTTATGTGCATGATATGATATGTGAATATTATGCTTTATATGATCAATTGATATGTCTACGATATGATATGCTAAGTTAAGATGTGCTTGACGACATACTCGTGATAGGATATGTAAATGTTATGTGACTGTCATGATATATGATACGGTATGACATGTGTATGATACGAATTGATACGTTTGAAGACATGATAAGTTTATGATATAACATATGTTCGACATGAATGATAAAATGATAGGATAGATTGACATGCAAATAAGGAATTGGCTTAGTGCACAATCTCGATATACACATGAAAAGCTATGATAAAATGATATGATATAGAGGAAAAATGTTAGAGGGGGCTCTCATACATGATAATGAAAAAGGAAAAATGTTGAGACGTCATGCATCATTGTGTGTTCATGCATCGAGGGATACCCCTTCTCCTTTTACAATGGTACAGACGTGTACATTATGAAGTAGGGAAACAATTATTATATTTACCATAATGCTTCTACGACGATCGTTATTCCTAACGGGTGTTCGACATCAACAGCTGCCAGAGAATGCTCGCCTGACTAAAAAAAGGGCCCAGGATAGTGACTTCATACTCGCACGTGTGTAGAATAATAAATACACATCCAATTACCCGCTCAAGATAGCCGTCGTAGGAATATATACTAATATGATATGTCCCATTCAAGATTGTATGTACTTAATCTAATCTCAATAGGGGTCACTTACTGAGTATTTCTTAAACTACTCAATTTTTTTTTTTTTTTTTTTAAGACAAGGCTCCACTATATGACTGACCGTGACACATGCCTACTTGCATTTTGAATTTAGTAGACTATAGGTTAATATAGGTTAGTTTACATTTCTATTTAGTAGCAATATAGGATAGTATAAGACATTTTTACCTTATGTTATCTTTAGTTCTTTTTAATTATTTTATTTAAATGCCTTCTAAAGAATGTGTTAGACCAAGGTGGTGTTTTTATTATAAAGTTCTGAATGAAGTGTTTATGTATAAAATGTCTATGATATGTATATCATAGGACTTTAGGTTAAATAGAAATCTAGAGTCGTTACAATATGAGTTTGGTCGATTCGAGATATCAGGTTTAATGTATACCCCTAAATGAATAATCAATATTATATATTCTATTTCCTTATAGAAAACTATATAATATTCTTCGACCATAAAAATTAGGCATGCTTTTCTATCCAATAAATGTCATGTCAAATCCATCTCGATAATTCACAATATAGCTTCATTCATTCATAATTATGAAATATGCTACAATATATATATCAACTGATGAAAGGCATACTCTATTCATTTCTTTTCTTACCTTTGTTTCTTTGAAGCTCTTCTTCCTTCAACCATTGCCACGATCCATAAAGGTTTTCCAATTCGAAAAACAAGATACCCAGCAAATACTCCAAACACCATTCCAAATCCATATCCCATGAACACAACTTTCAACCAAAACCCTTTGTCCAAACTCTCACTTTCTTCACGTGCCATTTGAGATTCATGGGCCTTTTCTGAGTAGCAATTTGGTAGAGGAAACCCACAAAGCCCAAGATTCCCAACATACGAAGAACTTTCAAAAGTTGCAAACTGATTCCCTTGAGGGATTGGCCCAGAAAGATGATTGTGTGAGAGGTTCAAACGGGAGAGAAATGTAAGAGCAGCCAACTGAGGTGGAATTTCACCCAACAGTTCATTTGAAGAAAGATCCAACCATTCCAGATTTTTTAGATTCCCAAAAGTTATGGGAATCCTACCTCTAAGCTTATTATGAGAAAACTTGAGACCTTTCAAGGACAAGAGCGTCCCAATCACCTCTGGTATTTCTCCACTGAATGCATTACTTGAAAAATCAATAGCCTTGAATATCAATAGAATGCTTTCCAATTTTAGATCAGACCCTTTTATTGATACCACCACTGAGTCCTTATAGAAAGGGAGTATGTCAGATTCAAGCGAAGAAGAGTTGGGTTTTTGGTTGCCCACTTCAACTTCCTTCATGGCTCTCATGTTTTTGAATAAGTTTGATGGCAGCAACCCCCTGAAATGATTGCGAGATAAATCAATGATACGTAGATTTGGAAAAGAGTCTTTGTTCATGGAGTTGTTGATTGGACCATAAAATCGATTGGATCGTAGGATAAGAACTCGCAAACTTGATGCAGCTTCTAGCCAATGGGGGAACAGACCTGATAAGAGAACCAATAAAATATTAAAATTTGGATTAAAAATATGGGAATAAGAATTAAATTTATCATAGCTTAGGTTTATATAGCAATAATCAAAGGTAACCTGTTATGATGTTATTCCCAAGATCCAAGACTTGAAGATTCTTGCAGTTGAGCAAGGATGGTGGCAATTCTCCTTCTATTTGATTGTCGTTCAAATCAAGGCTTCTCAATTGACTTCCTATTGGAAAAAACATTGGAACATTCCCAGAAAAATGGTTCTTTTTCAAATCCAACACCGCAAGAGAAGTGAAGTTGGCTAAACATGGCGGAATTGTACCACTCAAGTGATTGTTGGATAGACCAAGGACAGCAAGGAAGATGGCATTGCAGACTGAAGAAGGAATTTCTCCAGTGAACTGATTTTCTGAAGCAGTATAGATTAAAATAGATGGTAGTGGGATGGGAATAGAACCAGAAAAATTATTCCTTTTCAATTCCAACAACATGAGAGAAGTTAGGTTAGAGAAACAAGATGGGATTGCACCATTCAACCTATTATTTGACAAATCCAGGGAAGTAAGGTTGGTGGCTGTTGGTTTTCACAGAATTTCGGTGAGAGGAAATTGGGAAAATGCGTAACAAAAAGGAGAGAGAAAAAATAACTCTCAATTTGACTGCGTTGAGGTTGTTTTGTTTTATGAACAATTCTCCTATTTAAAATAAAAAGGAATTCTAAAATTGGCTGGAGAGTGGCCAACTAAATCTGTGCCACTCCCTTCTAAAACTCTGGTGGTCGAATCGACGTGATTTGTCAAATGGTCAACCTTACGATTTTCTGAAATCGTGTGAATAAGAAAAACGGTAAAACTCAGGTTTTATCTAACAGTGGCTTTGCAAATTGAAGGATGGATATTTCCAATGAGTTGATTATTTGACGCACTAAATTGTTGTATTGATGATGGCAACATTGGAAAGGATAGGTTGAACAAGTTAGAATCAAGATAGAGATTTTTCAAATTTGGCAAATTGAGGAGAAGCTTCATTCCTGAGGACAAAAAGTTATGAGAAAGATCAAGGAGCCTCAAAGCACCCAATTCAGAAAACCACTTGGGAATGTTCCCATGAATTTGACTATTTGAAAGGTCTAGATATTCCAAGTTCTTCTGATATCTCAAAAAGTAGGGAAATTTTCAGCTGTCGACAAGGGCCCATTTCAACTCGAACAAGATTCTTAGAACTAATACTAGTAGACTCTATCAAAAGTTGATTGTTGTTTGAAACGTCAAACCATGTTATACTTTGAACTCCCAACAACTTGTCTAAATCCAAAACCCCACTCAGATTGTTGGACCCCAATGCTAAATATGTAAGATTCAGTTGCCTATAAATAGAATCAGAGACTCCACCTTGCAAGTTGTTGTTACTTAAATCAAGAAACTCCAAGGAGTTGGATCTGAAATCCCTCATCAAAGAAGAGAAATGATTATGAGAGAGATCCAAGTAGTTTAAACGAGGTAATGCATACAGCCAAGAGGGTATGGCACCAGTGAGTGAGTTGCGTTCCAAGTCCAAATAAATAAGATTTGAAAGTGCATCTGAATCAACATTTGTGGGTAAATGACCCGAAAATAAGTTAGATGAAAATATCATGTTGGAGAGGTGGGTGAGGTTGAAAAGAGAATTGGGTAGGTGACCCATGAAAGAATTCATATGAATTCTGAAATTAGTTAGCTTTTGAAGTTTGTTCCATGCATTGGGCAGTTGACCATTGAAGTTATTAAAAATGAGATCAATGTTAGTGAGTTGGGTAAGGTTTCCTATTGATTTTGGAAGTCCACCAGTGAATTTGGAGAATGAAAGGTCTAAAGATATCAAGGACTTTGCATTACCAATGGAATAAGGGATCTCTCCTGAAAAATTAGTGGAACTAAGACTCAAGATTTCAAGTGATTCACTCCAATTAGACATTGGCAAAAGCCCCTTCAATTCAGAATTATAATCAAGTTGTAACACACGCAAATTTGGAAGACTGATAATACGTTGTGGAAAATCCCCACTCAACCCACATGAAGAAAGAGAGAGAGAAGCTAAAGAAAGAGAGAGGTTCATGAAAGAAGTGGGTGTGATGTCATCGAGGCGTGAATCAGTAAGTGCAAGATCCCTTAGATTAGTTAGATTATGAAGAAGCTGATTCATAACTATGTCTGAGAAGCTGAGATAATTCCCGGATAGATCAAGAGAAACAAGGTTAGACAAGTATGATATTTCTACTGGAACATCTCCTATGAGGGAAGACCAGGAAAGATCCAAAGCCCTCAAGTCTTTAAACGTTCCAAATGAGGATGAAAATTCAGATAAAATAGAGTTACGAGAAAGATTCAAGGTTTGAAGGTGAGAAAGGGAAAAAAGGGAGCTGTTGGGATGAAGAACTCCAAGAAGCCGACTGCAGCTGAGGTCAAGCCCCACGACATGACCTTCTCCTTCCTCGTCGCATTTCACGCCATCCCATGAACAGCAATCTTTGGTTTGGTTCCATGTCTCTGTCTTTGGATAAGCTTGCTTCTTAAGCTCATCATTGCAACTACTTGATGCAGATTCATTCACGGAAAAGGCTTTCTTGAACTCCCAAAGGGCAAGGCTTTGTTTGGGATCACATAGATGATGAGAGTTGGCAAGAGAATTGAAAAGAGAGATAAGGAAGATACCGCCCACTTGATAGAGCATCATCAGCAATGCCATTTTGCTTTGGTGTTGTAAACAAGATGGTTGAGGGCTTTTAATTCTTCACAAGTGTCATCAATCATAATTAATGGACTGAGTAGTGGAATTTGAATCTTCAACGACGATTAAAAATAAGCATTGGCCAATTATTAGTGAACATACTAATCGTTAATTAAACCTATTGGAAGCCAGAACAAATTGATATCAAAAGTATTCTATATTACATACGAAAGTAAATACGTGAACAATTCTCTGTTGAGGGCATGAACATTTTATAATAAAGGAAAAGAAACTTAGTTATGCTACTTAATTATATATACATATAATCTCTAAGCTTGGTAAAAAGAACATTGTCAACGTTAGGAATCTATTTTGATGGTTTTAACTAGCGGTATACATGCTTAATGTGAAACTTTGATTGTGTAACAATCCACCTTTCAAGGACTCAAGCCACAAATTGTCATATACTAACATGAAATGCAACGATCATAGATTTCTACTTTAACTTGAAGTCGCTAATATATACATATAATAGACATTTTATGTGGAAATAGTTCATTAAAAAAAACATAGTTTTAGTCTTACCAGTTTTCTAGAAGGTTTTCAATAAAATATTAAAATTGAAAATAACATAAAGTAAACAAAATGCCCTAAGAGAGACTTGGAACAAGTCAAAGGTTGAAGTCGTGACATCGTGGACCAATTCTGAAAGAAGACTTGCCTCTAATAAATGTGGTAACGACCCTAGGTCCCTACAGAGTAGTAGAGTGCTCATGAGTTGAGCTGTCATAGGTGGGTGTCAACTTGGAGAGTCAATTTTAGTCTGTATTTTTATGGGTTGTCGTTTGTACACATGTTATATCTCATTCCCGTTTTCCATTTGTAAATAACTTGAATAACATTTGTTTTGTAATGTTTCATTTTTTATTTCGACTATGACATTGTTTGACTTTAATTCTACAAAACTTTATAGTATTTTCACTTTGTTTGTTATCATTTGTTTACTATTGTCTTATCTTTTTAGATTCGGTTCGAAATTTGAAGCCTAAAAAATTGAGTCGTGACAGATAAGCTAAAGAACCAAAAATTAAGAACTTAAACCAAATATTTTTCTCAAAATTCATGATCTTTTAAAATAATCTACTAAATAACCTTTGATGTTTGGTCGCTGGTGAAGATATATTATAAAATGATATAAAATCCACCCAAATAAGTGCAATTATACACTATCACAATAAAAGTAATAAGTAAATTATTGATGGTAAGTATACACTAACCCTTCAATAACCATCCAGTATCATTGCAATGGAACTAGAGTATTAAAGAAAATTTACTTGCTATCTTTTTTCTTTCAAATAAGAGAACAACTAAACAACCATGCCAATCAATAATAACTCTTTAATAAACTAAAATCATACTGTTAAAGTTCTTCTGCCTCCCCTGCAAAGTTTAGCTCTCTATACAAACTGATTTCAACCGAGGAATCAACAACTTAATCCGGTAAAATTATAGAATAAAAAAAAAAGGTAAAAGATCAGAGTTATCTAGTCTAAATGAGTTCGAAATGAACCAAAACTCTTTTAAATTTTCAAACCCTAAGAAAAATGATACCTAGACGACAAAAAAACAAAAAATAAAAAAATAAAGAGAAGATAAGCATTCGAAAAATAATTATTTGGATACGTTAAATTATTAGTTGTCTATACATCGTGACAAAAACGAATGAATAATCAAAATACATTGATCTTTTAAGAGGGAATGGATTATGGTCGACGCTCTTTCAATTGAATACATGTACGCCTTGGGTTGATACTCCTCTATGGTTACTAATCTCCTGAGCACTCCCTCCCCTAAACTAGTCGTATCAATTACCTGAAAAACAAATGTAGGAAGGGGCGAGTATCCAATTATACTTTGTAAACAATCTACTTGTAAATTCTCATTGCATCCTACACCTATCGGGAGACTACAGACTTTACTCTTGGCTCTTGGTGAACCACTCTTTCCACTCACAGACTTAGGTAGCTAGTTTAGCCTATGCAGCAGTCGATAAGCGTCTGGAGTTGAGGCACTACTTTATAGAACTCACTCTTTGGTGGGGACAGTATGGTGGTGCTAGTTTGCTCATCGTTCGTGGGAGGTCAGCTGATGAGCTTGTTCCACAAAACCATATAGTCACTCAAAGCCAAGGTGCAACCCCCCTATGCCTGCCAACTCCAACGACTATCCGCATAATCCACACCGTCCATACAATAGTAGAAAGGGAAGTGGATGCTCCACAAACATCGCATCAATTACTATCTGCCTAGGAGGCTATATTTGTCTTCCTAGGTTGTCGTGGTGGTCTTTTAAGTCCCTAGGGCGGCTTGGCGACTCTTACTTGGATTCATGTCTCTAGGTTTCTCTATTGACTCTTTGTCTCTAGTTTGGTCAGAGACTCTAGGGATTGGACCCACTTGTCCTCGCTCACATTTCTAAGATGCTTGGAAAACTGGAGGCATTTCATCCTAGACCATATCTAGCTAAACTGACTCTAACATCGTAGTCTTATTCCATTACAACTAATGACACTTAGGGGAGATCACACATTCAATAACCTTGAACTAATGTACATTAAATCATGCATACAGTCTTACATGCTCAACACGACGATAACATCCATCAAGCACTTAGACCGTAGATCACAAATTTCTCATTATCCTTTCTAGCATAATTATGTATAAAGCAGTAGTAACAATCCATACATCTTTAAGGCACAGGTCAATTATGCCTACATCAAGTGTGAATAAACAGAGGCTTAATCGGTCATAAAAGCTCTTTACATGCTAAAACTATCCACCTAAGGATGGTTATGCATGCATATCCAAGCAATCGCTATACGAATTACTTGTCCAAAATATTTGCGGTTCTTTACATAACTTTTTGGGTGTCTTTCCGAGTTTAGTTGCTTGCTAAAAACGTCACCAAATTTTTAGAAATTCTCTAGAGGATCATAATTCAAAGAAAAATAGGATTAGCATTAGAATCAAAACGAAAAAGTTACAAATGGAGGTTGGAGGTTGAACGACATAGAAAAAGGGGAGTCAATCACCACACATGAGTGCAAGAGCAATTCTGCGAATGTTTTCACACGCACGGATGAGAAGTACAATCGCGGGTCAACAAGTCAGATGCTAGTTTGGGTCGGGCATTGGATTCGCAGGTTGTTTGAAGTGAGTTCGCACGCATTGTTGTCTGAACGATCTTGAATAGTGGAGATGCCAGTTTGGGTCGACCTGCAGCACGCATTGTTGTCTGAAGTCGAACTCACGTCTCCACTGTTCGCTCGAGAAGTGTTAATCATCAGGCCAGATGCGCGTCCGTACATAAGTACCTTACCTGTATTTAAAAATATTCAGAAAGTAGCCCAATTATTGAGGTTGAAAAATGTAATCATGTTTATGGTGGGACCTATTTTTTTCCGTAAACTTTCTTTTTGTTGGAGACTATTTTCTAGTTCAAGTAGGTTGGATGTGAGCACTTCTCTACCAACCGTCCACACACGCACATATGAACCTATCTGGTAGGCTTCTCTAAAAACATGTAAATCATTAGTAACAATTCTTTAATAAACTAAAATCACACCGTCAATATGCTTAAACTACATAAAACTCTCCCACCTCACCTACAAGGTTTAACTCTCCATATAAACTGATTTAAACAGAGAAATCAACATCTTAATCATGTGAAAGATTAAGAGTTATCAAGTTTTGTTGTTGTCCTTCCATGAAAGTGTCCCTCATTTAAGCTCTCTCATCCACCTTTTTGCGTTAATATCATTCTTGTTCTCCTTTTCCTTCTCCTGTCAACCGCTACTAAATTAGAGTTCTTTCTCCTCTCTCTAGTTTTTAGAATCCTGTGTTTTTGTGGCTCCCTTTCTTTTTAGGTAATCTCTCCCTTTTATATTATTCATTGCTTCCCATTTTGTGCTAAAAAGGAGTAAGTCGTCCACCTAGAAAGTTCTTAATTGGGTAGTCAATGACCCACATGGCTTGTTGATTTGGATTATAATTTCCATGTCATTCCCGAAAAATTTTCTTTTCGAATTTATAAAGCATCAAGATCACCAATTTGTACAAACATGTAACCACTAACAACATTGTTTCTAGATTTGCTACATCATCATGGTTCAACATAAATGTTTTGAAAATTTACCAAATAACTCAATTAAATGTACAACTAAACTCAATTTATGCAAATTGATTTTCTTATCACGTTGAATCATAATGAACTATTTCATGCTTACTAATTAGAATAAATGGAGCCATTAATGAGAAAACAACGAGTATGAGTGCAAAATTAACTACAAAAAAAACTTGGTATACTTTTGGAGAATTCTGCTTATGAAATTTTAATGAATGGTCTAATATCACATAATAAGGATTTATGTGAAGTTTGACCGACATAGGAGCATGTTTAGGGCTTAACCAAGGAAATTGATAAAATGACCAAAATGTCCATATTATGTTCATAAATTATCTCAGGGTCTAAATGAACTTTAAAGGATTAAAAGTTTTATATGATGTCTATTTGTATGAATGACTATACAAGTTTTAAAGTAATCAAAGCAAGTTTAGGGCCTAAAACAAGATTGGTGTGAAAAAAAAAAAATCAAAATACCACTTAAGATTTTATAATGTTTTCGACGGAAGAAGAATTAGACAGAACTACGGAACAGTCAGTCAAGAAGTCGTGCTTCTTCTTCTTCGCTTCCTCTCCTGAGATTCGAGCATCTTCACCACAGCTGCCTGCTGTCTCCTCCTGATGACAGGGGAGCCGGCGACCGAAGCCCTGGTGAAGGCTAGGGGTATCCCAATGAGCCGTTTATCAAATCTTTTTATAAGTAGAGTTCCAAAAACTATAAAAAAAAAAAAAAACTAAGGCCTAAATGAACTCGAAAGGATGTGAAATTTTATATTAGTCTTATTATAAATGACAATATTACAATATGTTTTGGAGTATAATACCAAGA